GTCTCCACTGAGGGCCTAGGAGAATCAAATGGGGCCTACAGTTAGCCTATAGAAAACACTAAGGCTGAAAAAGTATTGAGCTGGTATATTAATTCCAGAATAACAGGCTTAGAGTATTGAAACTGCACCTTATTCCAAATGCAATGACAGATATTCTTGAATGAGGTAAAGCTAGGCTCCAATTTGTATGGATGCCCCTTTTCTTCCTAGAATGGGGTCCTTTGAAAGCCTAAGTCCTACCTTAGGTGGACCACAGATTCTTGCTTTTGACCTCTAGCCTTATGAAGCCATCAAAGGCACTGCTCGGTTCTAAGCACACCCAGAACAAAAGTAGCTGTAGCTGTTGTGCTCTCTCCTCTGTCTTCTCCAAAATCTTGGCTTGACAAGGTATGGGAACAACCAAAGTGTCTTTGATAGATGATTAGATACAGATAATGTGGTACAAACAGGGTAGGGAAATGTTTGTATGGAAAATAATACAATACGTAATAAAAAATAATATAAGAATAAACTCTGTGTTTCCCATACTCACAGCTGTAAACCTACTTTTGCTCCACCCTATATATACAGTGGAATACTGCTCAGCCAGAAACCTTTTTTGCCAGATTTTTTTGTAGCTTGTTCTCATACCTCCTCTTGATATTGCTCAAATGTTACTTTCTCAGAGATGTCTTATCTAACTTCACCCCCATTCCATTTTCTATCATATCCCTCTTAACTGGTGTGTTGTGTTTCTCTATAGCATTTACCACCTAGTGATAAAAGTATTTTTGGGCATAAAGACCATTCTTATATATTGCGATCCACACCAATTAACTATTTCTCCAAAAAGGAAGGCAGACCTTGAATTAGATTTCATTGATCTGTATGTCTTATGATGTCTTTGTTCCTTTCAATTCTCTAGAATTGCATTTTTATGCCCTCAATAAAGGGAAAGAATCTAATTTAGAATTATCATGGACAGCTATAATTATAAATATTATTTTAGTTTTTATACTAATCGAGGGTATAAAATATATGTATAAGTTAAACATTTTATTAATATATAAAATTAATATTTTTATTGTATTTTTTAGAATGGAAGTAGATGTTTGTTGACAAGAAATTGTGTGTGTGTATGTGGTATGTACATATAAAATTAAAATAAATAAAATATGGACTACTATTCACCCTACAGAATGATATAGTTTAGTTTTTCCCCCAAATCAGCTTATGTGTCATTGTGTTGGTACTAGAGTTTTTAGTAAAAACTAAGAACTATTAAAATTGACTGTATGGCTGACTAATAAAAATTAAAATTAAATGACATATTGTAGCAGATAGGATTTTCCCTTGTTATCATCAAATAATGATGACTACTCCACTCACTTTAAAACTTTTCCTTGCCCCCCCCAAAAACATTCAGTAAGAAAGTTTATAATTTGCCCCCCCCGAAACAAACAAACAAACAAACAAACAAACAAACAAAAAACAAACAAAAAAATTTTTCTTGCTGATTCTACTCTATATTTATTTTGCACATCTAGTTAATGGTTACTGGGGTACCTGTGTAGAGATAAGAAAATTCCAAAAATAAGAAACCACTCAGCTTTTGTAGTCACCAATTGTGAAATGAGGCATGTAAATTGCATTTTGTGTAAAAACGATAATTTTAGGAGGTGGAGGGAGTTCTGTGATATGTTTCTTTATGTTGCTAACTTTGGGGGTCCTGATAGAGGCTCCTGTCAGCCCAAAAGTCCTCCCTTCCCATTTTAATTTTAACGTGAAGGTGACACATTCCAAGAACAAAGTGTAAGCAAGTGATACAGGAAGGTAAGAGTGGGGAAAGTTAGGGATCAATAGGATGTGTAGTAGAAAACCTTTGCAAGGTGAGCCCTCAGAAAAGGATACTCTGAAGCATGTCTTCCTCAAAGAGTATTTGGTTCTTGATGACATTAAAATGCCTTCTGTCAGGGTTTTATCAAAATAATTAATATTTGGAATGAACACACTGCAAATATCAAACACACTGAAATGATTAAATGAAATTACACATCTGAGCTTGAGGAAACCAAGAATTTACCATCTGATACTTTGTGTTCACAGTTGAGCAAATCTTTGCAGATTCGTGCTGGGTTATCACGTGTGCCAAGAGGATTCTTGATGCTGTGCAGTAAATTGCTAAGGTAGTTCAGGGTTTTGAATATCTCTGCACTGTAGTCAATTAAAGTCACTTCAGTATTCTGGTAGCTCTGCCAAGTCATCATAAAAATGATGTTAGCAAAAACACATAGAGTAGCCATTAACAATAGTAACTCTAATAATCAACACAGATCAACGCAGAAGAAAAATGTATTCCTATTGTGTGCAATGTTTTGGGAGTAGGATGTAAAAAATGGTTTATCTTTAAATATAGGCATTTGTGTATGCTTTATTAATTTTGATCCTAAATAGAGATTAAATTTACACTAGAAGTCTAATTTTCAAGCTGGCATAAATATAACAATTACTATGCCTACTACAAAATATATTTTTTAAAAAATCATACATTGAATAGAGTTTAAATAAGAAAAATAAATAGTGATGATAGGTTTCATGTTAAGAAATGGCAATTTCATTTTGTTATTTTTCTTTGATACTACCACATTCCTTATAAAAATCCTTTAATAATATTACATTTTTATTTTAAATGTATCCCCTATGTATATTTCTATTTATTAAAATCACTTACTTTGTCCTTAAAATGGCTCCATTATTTTAAATCTGTTTTAGGTATAATATTTGAGATAAACCCACATGTTGGCCTCCGAAAAATTTCTGTTTAATTTGTATACTGAGACTGCCAATGTAAATAAAGCTAGACATATTACCTCCATCTGTAGGGCAGTATGTGATTCAAACAAGGCTTGAATAGCAGCATTGATATCCATTTGTTTCTGTGTAAAACAAAACTATTTTAGATCAGCAATAAGATCAACACCAAGTGCTCTAAAGCAAAGGCTGTAAATTCTGAAAGCACTGCTGTTAAAAGTATACTAGACTTAGTATCTGAAAGGGGTTTATACCTCTATGGTTAGACAGATCTTGCAAATATTACCTGGCTATCTGAAAGGACAATATGCTGCCTTCATCCAAATTTCTAAAGTCTCCTAATTAAAAAAGGCCCAACTCTAGAGCTTTCCAATGAAAAACTATTTGTTGCTGCTGCATGAACACACACACAAAATTACTCAAGAGGAAGAAGAATGAAATATGACCCCCTCGGTTAATAAATTGTAAAGTGAAGAATAAATAACTGTAGTAATTTTTGAGTTACATTCTTGGAAGGAAAATAGAATAAATACTACTGTGTTGAGGTAGTCACATTAGTTTAATCTGATACTTCTGCGGTCTTAAAAAACAATTTCTAAAGTTGGAAAATGTACCATTAGTCCCCAAAGAAATAATACAATATAAATCCAATCTCCTCCTACATTTAATAAGAGATATTTTTAGAGAAAGACTCAGCAAAACCATTAGTAAAAATCTTTCTTGTGTTTTAGTTTTTAAAAGGTTGGAAACTGAGAAGCATGAGTTGAGAGAAAGTTCTGAGAAATGGCATCTGTATGAGCCAATCAAGCAATCTAATTTCTTTCAGAATGATTGTACTGCTAAGAGAATCTTTTTACTTGGAGGTCCATATAATAGAAACTGTTTTCAACAGATCTTTCATAGCTCATGGTTGGTAATTTGAAAAACTATTTAAAATGATGGGACAATCAATAAAATGCATTCTTCCTTGCCACAACATGTGGTTTTCATATTGGAAAATAATTGAATCATTCTGTATACATATACTGCCAAACACTGTGATACAAATTGAGGATAAAATGGTGAGCAAAAAAGAAAATTGCTCCTGTGGAGCTGAAGTTCAAAGAGGGAAAAAAGCATTAACCACATCACCTCAAAAGTACATAATTACAAATTGTGGTATGTGCCATTAAAGAAAAGAACATGGACCTCTAAGAGAAATTAGGGATTCTGAATCAACTCTGGAGGATAGAAGAGGTTTGGAAAGGAGAGACCAGGGAAGGCTTCCTTGAAGTTGTGACTTCTGAGCTGAGATATGAAGAATGAATATGATTATTAGAAGAAGAGGTTGGGAGGGCTTTGTAGGTAGAAGTAATTAACAACCTTGCACAAAGGCCATGAAACAGAGAAGCATGGCCTATTCAAGAAGCAGAAAGGGTTAGCCTAAAAAGTTCTGTGCAGATTAAATAGTTTATGTGAATGGGCAGATTTTGGATATGAGTCACACAAAAATATTGGCACTAAACATGGACAACTGAATTCAGTAATAAACAATAGCCACCTTCATATTTTCCAGTTGGTTTGTAATTAGGGCTTTAATCTTGCAAAACCTAGCATAGCAGTTCTAAAATATTCAGACTTAGGATCCTTTTGCACTTTTAAATATTAGTAAGGGCTGTAAACAACTTTCTTTTATCTGAGTTATAGCTTTTGATATTTACCATAGTAGAAATAAAAACAAAATTTAAAACTTGTATTAATTACTTTAAAACAACAAATCCACTATATGTAAATACAAGCTATTTTTTAATGAAAAGTAATTAAAATTTTCCAAAACAAAATAGTAATAAGCGTGGTATTGTTTTACACTTTGTTCATCTCTTAATTATCTGGACTAATAGGAGATAGCGGATTCTCCTATTTGCTTCTGTATTTAATCTGTTATATATTATTTTAGTTGAATTATATGAAGAAAGATGGCTTTATAGAGATACACAGCTGGAAGAAAGATTATTTTAGTATCTTTTCAGATAATTTTGGTATTCTTTCTTAAAGTAATTTAAAAAAATATATTTTTATTGATTTCAGAAAGGAAGGGAGAGGGAGAGACAGAAGCATCAACCACATTGGAGATCCAGCCTGCAACCTGGGCATGTGCCCTCACCAGGAATTGAATGTGACCTCCTGGTTCATAGGTCGATGCTCAACCACTGAGCCAGGCCAGCTGGGCATGGATATTCTCCTTTGATACTATATCAAAACTTGACAAGTGGTAGTTTCAATATCAATAGAGAGATAGAAATTAAAGAACCAAATTCTGTAGTTGAAAGACATAATAACTGAAATGAAAACTTACTAGAGAGGGCCCTAGATGGTTTGGCTCAGTGGATAGAGCCTCGCCTGTGGACTGAAGGGTCCAGGCTCGATTCCAGATAAGGGCACATACCTTGGGTGCAGGCTCAATCCCCTGTCCCAGGTCCGGGCGGGTGCAGAAGGCAATGGACTGAAGTGTCTCTGTCACACAGATGTTTCTCTCTGTGTCTCTCCCCATCCCTCCCACTCTCTCTAAAAATCAATAAAAAATATCCTCAAGTGAGGATTTAAAGTTGTTTTTTTTTTTTTTTTTTTTACTAGAGAGACCCATCAGTAGATTTAAGTAGACAGAAAAAAGAATCAGTAAATTTAGAGATAGGTTTATTGAGGTTATCCAGTCAGAGGAGTTTAATGAAAAAGAGTGAAGAATGTGAAGAGACTCAGAGACCTATAGGACAAATTAAAGCACAGAAACATATGCATAATTAAATTTTCAGAAGAAGTGGAGAGAGAGAAAGTGGCAGGAAAAATATTTTAAGAATAGTGACTTAAAATGTTCCAAAATTTGTGAGAAACATTTATCAAAAGATCCAAGAAGCTCAATAAACTCCATAGACACATCATAATCAGAGTGTTAGAAGCTAAATATACAGACAGAAACTTGAAAGCAGAAAGAGAGGAGCAACTCATCATGTCCAAAAGATCCTCAATATCAGCAACTGATTTTTTAAAAATATATTTTTATTGATTTCAGAGAGGAAGGGAGAGGGATAGAAAGATATAAACATCAATGATGAGAGAGAATCATTGATCGGCTGCCTCCCGCATGTCCCCCACTGGGAATCGAGCCCGCAACCCGGGCATGTGCCCTTGACCAGAATCGAACCTGGGACCCCCCAGTCCACAGGCTAACGCTCTATCCACTGAGCCAAACCAGCCAGGGCCAGCAACTGATTTTTTATTAAAATAATAAAGATGAGAAGGCAGTGGGATTACATTTTCAGAGTGCTGAAAGAAAAGGACTGTCAACCCAAAATTTTATATCCAGTAAAACTATTCTTCAAAAAATGAAGAAAAATTAAGACATTTTCAGATAAACAAATACTGAGGCTGTTCATCACTAGCAAGTCTTTCCTGAGAAATAATATAGGAGAGACTTTTAGGCTGAAATTAAAGGATACCAGGCAGAAAATTGAATTCACATGAAAAAATAAAGAGCACTGGTAAAGGTAACTATATGGGTAAATCTAAAAGACAGTATAAATCCCAAATAGCCATAACAATCTTGAAAGGAAGAACAAAGTTGGAGGTCTCACACATCAATTTAAAAACTTACTACAAAGCTACAGTAATCAAAGCAGTGTGATATTGGTATAAAGATAGATACATAGTCCAATAGAATAAAACTGAGTCCACAAATAAATCGTCATATATAGTCAAATAATTTTTTACAAGGGTGCTAAGACCATTCAGTAAGGAAAGAAGAGTCTTTCCAACAAACAGTGCTGAGAAAATTTGATAAACACATGCAGAAAAATGGAGTTACACCCTTACCTTACATCAGATACAAAAATTTACTCAAAATGGATCAAAGAGTTAAATATAAGAGCTGAAACTATAAAACTCTTAGAAGTAAGTATAGGGAAAAAGCTTCATGACATTGGATTTAACAATGATTTTTTGGATATGACACAAAAAATAAGGCAACAAAAGAAAAAGGAAATAAACTGGCCTACATAAAAATTGAAGACTACTGTGCAAAGGACACTATCAACAGAGTGAAAAGGCAGCCCATGGAATGGGAAAGGATATTTGCAAATTACATATCTGATAAGGAATTAATATTCAGAATACCTAAAGATTTCCTACAACTTAACAAAAGCAACAAAACAAAAACAAGCAACCCAATAATAAAAAAAGTGCAAAAACATTTTTCTAAAGAAGATACATAAGCCAATTTTTCCAAAGAAGATTTTGACTAGACATTTCCTCAAATGAGATATATAAGCCAATAAGCACATAAAAAGATGAACAACATCACTAATCACTAGGGAAATGCAAATCAAAACCAGAGTTAGGTACCACTTCACACCCATTAGGATGGCTATTATAAAACCAAATAGAATATAACAGGTATTCTCAAGACGTGGAGAATTTAGAACCCTGTGCATTGCTGGTGAGAAAGTGAAATGGTGCAGCTGCTGTGGAAAACAGTACAGCAGTTGTGCAAAAGGTTAAGCATGGAATTACCACATGATCCAGCAACTCCACTATGCTGAAATGTACTTAAAGCAGGGAGTCTTAACAGATGTTTGGACACCTATGTTCATACCAGCATTATTCACAATAGCAAAAATATGAAAGCAATCCAACTGTCCATCTGGACAAACAAAATGTGGTAATACACACAATGACACACGCTACAATGTGGATGAACCCTGAAGACATATGTTTAGTGAAATAAGCCAGTCGAAAAAGGAAAAATACTGTATGACTTCACTTCTATGAGGTACCGAGAGTAGCCAAATTAATAAAGATAGAAAGTAGAATGGTGGTTGCCAGGGGCTAGGGAAAGGGAGGAATGGAGAATTATTATTTATTGAATATAGAGTTTCAGTTCTGGAAGAAGAAAAAAATTCTAGGCATGGTTGCACAACAATGTGAATGTACTTAATACCATTAAGCTGTACACATAAAAATTATTAAAATGATAACTTTTATGTTATGTATATTTTACCACAATTAAAATAATAAATAAATTAATATGTTCATTATCCCTTACACCTAACCAGCTCACTTCTGGAAATTGGTCCTATAGATATTCTGTGAACTGATATGTATATGAATAACACATTTGTACTGTTTGTGTCAGGAAACGATTGGGAACAAATTAGGCACCCATTAATAGAAGCCTGAATGGATGAATAAATTGTACATTTTGAAGTGAAATGACCATGTTTCGTTTTGTGTGTGGCAATAAAAACACAATGACTTTTAGTAGATTAGTAGTATACAGCTTGGTGCTGCATTTATGCTAAGGTACCAGAAATTTTAATCAACTCAATAAAAAAGGCAACTTTTATCAATAGCCATTGAAAAGGAAAAAGGTCATAATACTTGGCCACTCATGGATTTTGTTGGCAATATCTATAATCATATAATTCCCAATGTATTCACAAAGCTCACTTCATGCCTGACCCATAGTAGGCATTTAATGTGTTGACTGTTAATTTTTCTCAAGGGTAGCCTTTAGGGAAGGCAGGCCCAGAGAGACTATTAAGATAATTTGCTTTGGAAGTCATTCAACAACATTTAAGAGTGCATATCTGAATGTTAAACTTACATTAGGTACAGTGAGGGAATCCCAAAGAAGTAGCTTCCTCCATGTATTCTAGTTAGAACATATTCTTACATGAAAATCACTTACTGTTTATAGAAAGGTGACATAAAATAGAATACAGAGAATGAGTTATCAGATTGGGGAGACCAACAGGGAGACCAGGAAGCTTCATTATAACTTGGGGGAGTATAATTGTCACATTTCTCTCACAATTTGTTTGAATGAAACGTGGACCTGGTCAGGGTACTCCAGTATTTTGAGAAGTGTTATTTTCCAGGCATCTTAAAATCACTGGATGATGCAAACATCGATGGGATAGGAACTGATGTCAGGTCACACACTTCTCCAGGTTGAAGTAATTGCTTATTCTAGGGGACCAGGATGGTACCAGCAGTTGTAACCACTCAAGTCACCAATCCAGGTTTCACAGTTGACCCATTAATTAGAATAATTGAATTGAAAATTCCTTATCTCATTTAATGATTTAAATGATTACTGTTCCCCCCACATCAGACACAGACATATATACACATCCTATTCTTCCCTTTATCCCACCAATCATTTTTGGTTGTTTGACTTCTTATTTATTTCTTTGTTAGTTTTTAGGTATCTTACCATGTGCCCTGAGTTTCGGTCATCACCATGGTAATTCAAAAGCACCATCAATTTATGTCCCTTTTCCTGAAACACTTCCCTCTAGCTATTCTATTTTAGGAACTTGAGTAACTTACTTTGTTTTTAAAAGGGAATGAGATTAGAAATTTTCAAACTTTTCTTATCTTGACCCATGGTAAGAAATACATTTTACATCATGACAAGATTCACACAAACAAACATATATTTAACTGAAAAGTTTTGCAATACAATATTTATTCTTACTAGTGGAGATATACTGATTTTTGTTTTATTTATTTATTTTTTGCTTTTATATTGACCCAAGGTGAAAGGAAGAACAGAAAAGTTGACAGTAATTTGAAGATTTAAAGAAAGACATCTGCATTGATATTCATTCCAGGGAAGGTTTCATTAATCAGATGGACAGAAAGGGGGAGTAATTTTTAAAAATCATAGAGAAATGAACCTCCCATTTCCAAGGAGACAGTCTTCCTTATGGCACTTTGCTTGAAAGTTATTCCCTACCCTGATGAAAAGCTGAGAGGGATGAAGAGTTCCTGACTTCTGTGAGTAGGCCATAATGATCAACCAACTAGAACGCCACAGATCCAAATGACACTAGAGAAGCACGTGGAAATAAGTAAGGCTTGGAGGGCATGGGACTGGCCATTGTTTGGGATAGCGTCGCCAACAGTGGATCTCATTTATGCAGGAAATCTAACCAAGGACCATTGTATTTGACCAGGATGCTGTAGGGGTGGGGTGTGGGTGAGGTTGGGGATAGAAGGAGATCCCTTATAGATGGCAGGAAGATAAAATGGATACAGAATACAAGGGAAACAAAGCTAGGAACAGGAGAAGCCAGGAAATAGTACCTGACAACGAGGCAACAGAAGCATTGCCTGAAAGATAAGGGAAGCAAGTTTTGGGTTGTAATAGGTAACAAGAAAATACATAAGAAGTCTGAGGGCTTCTATAGCCACCAACAACTGGGAAAGATTCATATGAAGCTTAACAAGTGAATAACTCTGATTGGGAAAAAAAAAGGAGAGCTAGGGACCAGATGTAGGAAGAAATGGAGGGAGTTAATATTTTTTGACCAATCATTATGTCAGGCACTGTGCCGAGTGCTTTACTTCTTATTTAAAGCCATCTCTATTTTAGAGACAAGAAATCTGAGGCTTGGACTTGATGTTATTATAGCTGGAAAGGTTCTATATCAGATTAGCAAAAAGAACAGAGGCAGGTAAGAGGGGCATGGAGGGAGTTAACGGGAGCTTTAGAAAGTTAATGAGTCACTAAGAAAAAATAAACAAAACCAAGAAAACTTACTCTTGGGCCTGGTGCTCCAGGTGGACCCTATGATATAACAAATTAAAAAAAATTTATTCAGTAGATATCTCAAGTCAGGCAAGCACATAAGCCTCAATGATACTCAGATATAAATACAAATAAACTCACAGGAGGCCCTGGTTGACCTCTTGGTCCTTGGGGACCCTAGAAGAAATGGAGACAAAGCACAATATGTATATATTATGCTTTTGGTTTGATATAAACAAGACAACGAATAGTCAACCTCTAACATTGCCTTTTTGTGTGAGGCAAATCTTAAGATACAGAGTTGTATTAAAATTGTATGCTCTTGCATTGAGTTATCACCCACATTCATGAACAAACCAGATATTTATTTTCATGTATTACTTATATTAGAAACTGAACTTATTCACATTAATAAACCATCATAAATATACCATTTAAAAATGTTAATACTAAGTATGTTTTTCCCATTATTTCTATCTAACATTCACCTAATTGTCAAAGATGAAAATTTCAGTGTTCTTAGATATCTCTCTTTCCTTCAACATCCACCTATAAGTTGGTTACCAACTATATTGATTTCACCTCTAAATATTTCCAAAATACTACTTCTCCATCCTCACAGCCCTATCTTAGTTCAGTGCTAGTCATGTTCTGTGAACTGAATGTTTGTTTCTCCCAAATTCATATACGGGAGCCCTAATCTCCAACGTGACGGTATTTGGAGGTGGGACTGTGCAAAGGTCATGTGGAGCCTTCCAACAATATAACATTTATTAGTTCTTTTTTTATCGGTCTTGCTAACACACCATTAAGGAAAAGTAATGAATGGTAGTGGTCTTTTAAGAGGAGACACAAGAGAGATGATCTCTCTCTCTCTACCATGTAAGGAGGGTGACCTTCTGAAAACCAGGAAGAGAACCCTCCATCAGACTTGAAATCTGTCAGCAGCTTGATTTTGGACCTCCCAGGCTTCAGAACTGTGAGAAATAAAGACTTGTTGTTTAACCCTTCTAGCTGATGGCAATTTGTTAAAGCAGCCCTAGCTAAGACTCCATGTTTTGCCTGGATTGATCTTCTGATTTCCTGCCTGAATTTATTCTCTCTACTATGCTAACTACATTCTACTTATAAAATGGAAATCTAATAGTGTAATTACTTAGTTGAAATTGTTCAATGGCTCTTTATTGTTTAGATGATAGAGTATAAACTTCTGAATTGTGATAGCCACCATTTATTGGGAACTCACTAAATGCCAAATTGTGTGCTATATTCCCATTTTACAGTCAAGAAAAGATAGTGGTTAAGTAGCCACAAATAAGGGGCAGCTAGGATTAAAATTCAAGTCAATTGGATACAAAAGTCTATGTTTTTAGTTAATGTGCACCTGTGCCTCTCTTCAAGGTCTGGGCCTCACTTCCACTCGCTTACCCTCACCCCCCCGCCCCCAACATATCCAACACTCCATCTATAACCAACTACTTATAGATCTCTGAATCTTCCAAGTTCTTTCATACATGTATTCTTTTGCATGTACTATTTCTTGTCTAGGAATGTTCCTTCTTACCTTTTCTGTCTGTTTAACTCCCATTCTTCTTCCAATACTTCTTTACTGGTAAAACTCGATACCGAACTGCCAACCCCATGTCACCTCCCTCTTGCTCAACTAACTACTTCTTCTGCATTCCACAATACATAACACATTGGAAAGTCCCCAGGGACCCTTGAAAGTGAGTTAGTCATCTTTTCATTTTCTGAAACAAGAATATTGCCTAATACACAGTAGGTGTTCAAAAGTTGTTATTGAATGAGAGAATGAATAATATCAAAATTAGCTATATTAATTTAGAAATTAGAATAGTTAAAACATGCATAGCAAAATGTGAAAAGTTAGTTGACATTTTCCAAAATAAAACAATAATAATCACGATAGAATGGGGGTTACCAGAGAGGAAGGGGGCTGGGAGAAGGGAAAAATGGGTTAAGAGGATCAGATATATGGTAACAGATGGAAATTAGACTTTTTGGGGTGAGCACGCAATAGAATACACAGATATTGAAGTATAATGCTCTATACCTGAAATTTATATATCGGTATTAACCAATAAAATTAAAAAAATAAAGTTCACTCAAAATTTGCTTTGCTTTATGGTCAACTGAATGTTAAGACTATATTGGGTCAAATTTAGATTATGGTTAAAATATTAAAAAGCAAAAGTTATCTTCTGCTGAATTTTAAACAATGTTGTTTTAAGCATGTTTTATTGCCAAAGCTGTTAATTTTAAATATATTATGACTAGAAAAAATAATACATAGTAACTTAAAAAGGGTAGAGTTCTCCAATACCATGCCTGCTGGGCATGTCTTTGCATAATATATCATTATAACTTAAAGTAGAGAATGTATAAAACATATACCTCAGAAGCTACATGATAAGTTACAGAAGGCTGTCTTGGAGATAGCCTTTTAAATATATAGAGGCTCAGAGTTTGGCTGTGTGTGTTTCTCCATTCTGGATCAACATGGTAAAAATAAAGTTGACATTTCACCCCACTTAGCATATTTCTGACATTTGCAAAAATCTCACTGATGGTTCAGTACAAAATATATATCTTCTTTGTGACTTTGAAAGAGACATTTATCACAGAAAGAAATGATTACTTATACTGCTGATTTTATTGAGTTCATTGTAGCTTGTTTCCCAGAATAAGTCATATCACCACAAATATGCTCAAACAAAATACTTCAAACAAGACAGGGCAGGACAACCCCAATCTGCACAGAACAGGGCAATTGCCCAAGTAAAACAAAATGTTATTCCAACAATATAACATTTATTAGTTTTTTTTATTTCTGTTACTAACACACCATTAAGGAAAAGTAATTCACTCTCTTTAGTTATTATATAAAGCAGTTTATAATAAAACTCAATTGTCTATGTTAATTTTTTAAAGGTAACCAAATTAAGGTGAATAGTTATGGTGGTTTTGGCTATAGTGAAAGCACCACCTTTGAAAATAGACTTTCTCTTGATTTAATTCCAGAATTTACTGATGATTCTCTAAAAATAACATGTTCTATCATTAGACTTTGAAAATAATGATAAGTGCATATCCTTGAACCAGAGTATTTATGTAAATACAACCATGATTTAGCTCCATAATCTTTAAGTTGGCGTAGCTAAACAGAGCTTTCCTTTTCTCCTTTATAAATTGAGAAGCTTGCATTATGGGATGTTTATCAACAGCCCTGGTCTCTACCCACTGGATTCCACTAACTCGTCCTTTCCCCTCCTCCTTGGGCACTGGAAGTTTGTACCTTAATTATGAAGAGTGCTATGGTAACCCACAGAGCAAAAGACTAATAAGTATATTAATTCAGGAAACACTACTCTACTAGCTTAAATTGAAAATAACTATTAATTTTAGGGAATAGTATGCATTTATTAATCAATTCACTTCTCAAATAGTGCCTACGACATGGCGAGCTCTGTCCTGGACATGTAACCAGTAGATCAGACAAAGTTCCCTGCTCTCATGAAGTTTAAATTCTAGCACAGGAGACAGAAAATAAATAATTTCAATTAGTGCTAACAGCCATGAGGAAAACAAAACTGGATATTATGAAAGAAAATGAGCAGGAATAACAAGACAGGGTAGTCATGGGAGGTTTCTCTAAGATGATATTTGAGCAGAGACCTGAATAATGAGATAAAAACTAGTCATTTGAAGAGGAGGTGAAAGAATTTTCTAGGTAAAAGGAAGCCATGTTCCAATGAATAGAAAGACATTCATTGTAGTTGGCAAAGAGAAAATGGTACATGAGAGTGGAGAAGTAAACAGGGCAAATTCCTGTAGGGCCTTGTAGAGCAAGTGAGGAGGCATAGGGAGGCTTTAAGGAGGAGAGTGATATAATCGGACTTATATTTTTACAATATTACTCTAGTTGCTACGCAGGGAAAGGGTTTTAGTGGGGAAAAGTGGAAGAAATAAAAAGAGGGCTGGAGTCCAGGGGAGACTACAGTGCCAGGGCTGAAGAATGAGGGAAGTAGATGGATTCAGAATAGTAATTGGAGCTCACAAGAATTAACTTCTACTTTAAAGGACTGTTATTTATTTATGTTCTATGCTTTTGTCCATTCTTTCACGAGGGGCTTCTTTATTTTTCTTTTATGTAGAAGCTCAGACTCTTACAGCTGGAAGTAGGTATGCTCTAATTCTTACTCAGTGCGGGAGTAGCAGTCCTGTAACCCGGAGAGACAGCCAGTAGGCTTCTACTGAGAGATCCTATCTCACAAAACTATCTTGTGAGATTCATTATTATATTACACAGGTCATTATAACATTGAAATCAGGCTAGCATTCCATATGTTTAGTCAATAAGTACCTACTTTATGATAATTATGTGTCAGGTACTATGATAGACTGGGAATTATGTGGTATCACAAAACTCACCATCTTTCAGGGAGCAAAGCACAGAAACTGAAAATCCAATGCAATAAATAAGCCATTTAAATTTTATTTTCTAGAGCTACTCACATATATTCCTTCTTCCTCAAGGCAACCTTTCAAATATCTGAAGACAACTATCATGTCCCAACACCCCAAGCCTTCTCTAATTCTTTTACTAATAATTTATTAAATATTTATTGAATACTCACTATAAGACAGACACTGCTTTAGGTGTTGGGGACACAGTATTAAAACAAACAAATAAAATTTCTGGGTCATGGAGCTTACTTCTAGTGAGGGGAGATATAATAAGCAAAAAAACCCCCAAACTAATAAATGGGCAGCATGTCAGGTGGTAAGAAAATAGGTCAAGGAAAAATAGGAAATCTCAGGCAGGTGAAATGGGCAGCATGTCAGGTGGTAATAAATAGGTCAAGGAAAAATAGGAAATCTCAGGCAGGTGGGAGGATTGCTATTTGACATAGACCAGTCAGGAAAAGCCTCTCTGAGAAGGGGACATGTAAGTAAGGCACTAAAGAACAGTCGCCAGGCATTGTACTTGGTCCTGGTATTCTGTCCACAGGTGGCAGTGGGGTGAGGCTAAAGCATCAGCAAGTCCACCCTGAGCGGGTTATCTTTAAATTGAAACCTCAAGATACATAGGAACCTCAGGGATAAATCGTATGGATGAGAAAAAGCAAGTGCAAAAACCAGGAGGTAAAGAGAGAACAAAGAGAATGCGAGGGATGACCAAGCTGCAGTGTAGCAAAGGCTAAATATCCCAGATATTTCAACTGGATTTTTTTAGGACATGGGTGTCCGATACATCACCAACCTAAGAGAGCCCTCCTCTGGAGGTACTTTAATTTTGTCCATGTCCCCCGATGGGGGTGGCCATATTTCTTTCAGTGCAGCCTCAGACTGCAGGCAGGCATAATCCATTTGATTTGTAATCCATCGGAGCCACTAAATGTTTTTGTTGTTTTTTCTCACATGAAATAGTTGTGAAATAGGTACTTGAGGTTTCCTAGTCCTGATGGAAACTTATGTTCCAGTCCGAGAGGGTGGGGCAGGGAGGCAGCTGGAGACAGACGGGTTTGGAAAATGGGCTAATTCCAAGCCCCCCACATTTCCCTTTTCCCTTTCCTCCCCTGCTGGGGGATATGGCTGCACTGTGTACATACATCCTTGCTTCCTGTTCTAGTAAGCCTGCTGAGAAAATGTGAGAAATTTCTGCAAATTAAGCACATCTATTTTAACACTCTTTGGGGTTTTGGCTCTCTGAAATCACATTATTTCCATTCTTTTGCTAATTAATATAACTGTAACTTTATTATTCTGCAGCCCAAGCATACCCCAGGGTGAAAAACAAAAATCTCAACTGTCACTATGTAATGTTGTTATCTTTTAATCAAGACTTTACATCTACCTTTAAGTTTATTCTATGTGCCTTCTGTTCTTGGTTTCAATCCCCTTCATTTCACTCCGTGCCTGCCCTGTTTGCGGCTGCTGCTTTAAAAATTCATTTGTATCTGTTGGGAAAGTGGCCCCTTTACAGAATATCTTCTTTAATTCAGAAGAACTGGCATTCCAGAAAAGTAGGAGGAAATAGTGCCATTTAGGTCCCCAAATGGCTGTGTATCTGTTTGCTCAGCCGCTCACCATTGTTTCCAATGGGCTGAAATACACAACTAATGACTTGCTTCTGCTTTGCAGACCTCGCAGCTGCTGACTGGACACAGTGGGTGACACCTAAAGTGACCTGGCAGTGCTCTGGCAGCACCTGTGAGGAGGCTATCCTTCTCCTGATGCCGGGTAAGGCAAGTATTCCATTTCACACAGGGACCTGGGAAGGATGTGACAGGCAGGTTCTTAAATAAGTTTAGGATTTACTAGTTTTCACTACTCTATCCCACATGTTAGTTCTACTCCCTGAAAATTATCGTTTTACTTTTATTCCACAAGAATCAGATACATAATAATGAGCACATCAAACAAGGTCCTTGCTTTCAAATAGCTTATACGCAGTGATGGCCAACCTATGACAGGCGTGTCAGAGGTGACACGCGAACTCATTTTTTTGGGTTGATTTTTCTTTGTTAAATGGAATTTAAGTATATAAGATAAATATCAAAAATATAAGTCTTTGTTTTACTATGGTTGCAAATATCAAAAAATTTCTATATGTGACACGGCACCAGAGTTAAGTTAGGGTTTTTCAAAATGCTGACACGCCGAGCTCAAAAGGTTCGCCATCACTGGCTTATAGCCTAGTGACAAGTGATTCTACAACCACAGAGTCAGTTAAACTTACAGTTTCACCTCTAAAGCCTTTGTCACCTCTGGGTCCCTAAAAGAAAAAAAAAAGATGTTATTTAGTGTTATTGATAGTTATTTACCAAACATAGTTGAGGTTGTTTACAGAAACATAACAATTTGTTTTTAATCTAGCATGACTTGTTTATACATTTATATAAATTCTAGTTGTTTTCTTTTCCTAAGGAAAAAAAGAGTAAGACAAAAACAAAAACAATCTATTGATTTATCTTGCTGTCTGTTTTGCAATCCCTAGCTCCACCTTAAAGAGGGACAGGGATAACAGCTACATATTTATTCAAATAAGTCCAAACAGCTGATTGACAGTCCATCACAACAATTTAGAATGGAAATTATAGGTTAAATCCTTCTATTTGTTTTCCTCAGGCCTTGAAAAACCTTGTTTCTAGGGAGGTTTCCGCTTCTATCCTCTTCTCATTCTATTCCTCCTTCTGAACTGATTCCCAATGATGTGCTATATACATTTGCATTCAGTTTAAAATACGTTCTAATTTTATTTCAAACTTCCTCTTTGACCCATGTGTTATTTACAGATGTGTCATTTAATTTACAAGTGTTTGAAGATTTTCCTAGTATCTTTCTAGTTTATAGACTTTTAGTTTAGTTCCATTATGGTCAAAGAACACACTTTATTTGACTTCAGTTTTTTTAAGTTTAGTAAAATTTGTTTTATGGCCCAAAATATGATCTATTTTGGTAATGGTTCCATTGCATTTGAAGAGAATGCATAATCTGCTATTGGGTAGATCTACTGCTTTTTAAACTGTTAATATTTTTGTGTTCAACCTTGTGGAAACTATATATACAGTTTTTTAGTAAAAATGAGATCCTACTACTCATCTTTTCTGTAACCTGGATTTATACCTTTACAATATAATATGAATATTCTTCCATACACATTCCTTTAGATAATTATAATTTTAATAAATTGTGATAATATTTTATTGAATTTCAGATTAGATTTTTTCTAACTTTTGTCATAATAATTAATACTGTGATAAATATCTTTATGCTTAAGAAAATTCTGATAGAAATTGCCCTGACAGATTGTTTGAAATTGAAGGCACACCTGCAATAAATGGGAGTGTATACTGCTTTTGAAATGTGCATGTTCTGTCATTCTTTGTTAATCTTGCAGACAAAAAATACTACCTCATTTATTCACCATTTGTATTACTTCTTTTGTATTTGCTATGTTGTCCTTAACCCATTTAAAACTAGGATGCTAACTTTTAAAAATTTATTTTAAGATATGTTTACATATTTTGTTACACCCTCCACTACCTCCAACCCAGTATGAACAAGTTGGTACATATCTCATTATAGATTATTCTAATCAAATATTGACAAATATGTTTATATATATTTGGAATGATTGGTCAGGGTTTATAATATTAATATCATATTACATACTCTTTATGCATCATATTTTTCATACTTAACAATACATTATAAGATAACTGCAAGTCAGCCAAATTAGATATAACTAATTTATTTAAATATTTGCATTATCCTATATAATAAAAGGCTAATATGCAAATCGACCCGGTCACTATGACGTGCACTGATCACCAGGGGGCAGATGCTCAATGAAGGAGCTGGCCCCTGGTGGTCAGTGTGCTCCCACAGGAGCCTAGCCAGAAGCTGGGCTCATGGCTGGAGAGTGCAGCGGCAGTGGCGGGAGCCTCTCCCACCTCCGTGGCAGCACTAATGATGTCCGCCTCTGGGGAGCGGGGTAAGCCAGCAGTTGGACATCCCCTGAGGGCTCCTGGACTGTAAGAGGGCACAGTCTGGGCTGAGGGACCACCCCCCACCCCCCAAGTGCATGAATTTTGTGCACCAGTCCTCTAGTATTCCATAAAATGGTTAGACCACAAGATATTCAGCCATTCTTCTACAGATGAACATTCATGTGATTTCAAGCTTTTTTGCCTATACGAACTGTGCTATGAAAAAAAATCTTTTAAAAATTTCCTTAGTGTATTAAGTGTTTTTTATTCCTATGGGATAAATTCCATTAAGTGGAACTGCTTGGTCAAAGGATATATATATCTACATTAAGAAAAGAGAAACATGCAAATTGGTGTCACTCCGCTATGCCCACCAGCCAATCAGGTGAGTATGCAAATTAACCCAACAAAGATGGCAGTTAATTTGCATATTCAGGCTTGGAGCGAAGACTGAAGATGGCTGAAGACTGAAGACGGCTGAAGATTGAAGAGGCTTGGCTTCTCTTCTGTGGTCGGAGCGAAGGCCTGGGTCCCGGGTGCCAGAGGAAAACTGGTGCCGGCAGCCAGGGGAAGGAAGGCCTATTGCACGAATCTCTTCGTGCAATGGGCCTCTAAAATATATATTAATAGTTATCTTTCTATAAAGGCTGTAATTCACATTTCTACCAGTGATAAATGAGAGTACTGTTCTTCCTACATCCCTTTCTGAGAGGTCGGATATAATATCTCATTATTACCTTAGTTTGCATTTTCCTAACTAATAGTTACATAGCATCCTTTCAAATAATTATTGATCTTTTGAATTTGTTCTTTGTTTTTCTATTGAGTTTTCTATTTTTTTATACCAATTTCGAAAAGCTCTTTATATGTTAGCCCATTATATATTGTATGCTTTGCAATTATTTTTTCCCAATTTATACAGAGGTGGACAAAAGTAGGTTTATAGTTGTGAGTACATGAAACAGAGTTTACTCTTATATTATTATTTCTTTTACAGTTTTCAGATTTCCTATTTTATATAAAAGGTCTCCCTAACCCTTAAGCTATATTCTAGTTTTCTAGATAACTTTCTAAAAATTTTAATTGTTTCACTTTTCTTACATTAAAGTATTTCAAAGTTCATCTGGGATTTAAAGAAAAATTGGGCAAAATAGGGTTTGAGTTTCTTACATGGTGGTGGGACTAAAAGTAAACCCATCTCCCTTCCATGACACTGGTGTAGGAGTGCATATGTGGTTGAATCCTGGTTGATAGACATAAGAAAAATACAATGGGAGACTTCTGAAAAAAAGTTTTATGTTTCCAAAGATAGAGTTATAGATCACTTTTCACTTTGGATAATTATGTCTGGAAGTGACTCCTCAGAAATGGTAGCCATCTTGCTATAAATGTAATTATGAAGCCAACGTTGAGGATGGTAGAGTAGAGATATGGAGATAATCTGTTCTTGGATAATATGATTGAGTCATTAAATTAACCAAATCTGAAGTCCCTTCCTACCTCTGAGCTCCCCATAATATGGCATAAACTTCCTTACTGATAAAGCAGTTTGATTCAGGGTTCCTATTACTTGAAGCCAAAATCATTCTAACTGATATACCATTTTTGCTATAATTAAATTCCTCTATATATTCTGAGATCTAATTCTGGTCTCTAGCCTATTACACTGATGTATTTGTGTATTTCTTTGTACTACCATGTAGTTGCATTTATAATGACTTTAAAATAATGTTTTCTCATTTAGAAAAGCAAGTCTCTCATCCCCTACCACTGTTTTCTTTCACAAAGTTTTGGCCATTCTCAAGTGCTTATTCTTTCATAATAAACTTTTCTTAGAAGTTTCTTTTTAGTATAGAAAAAATTGAATATAAAAAAATTTGACATGTATGCTGAATATTATAAGGGCCCTAAGGAACTATTTATAAGCAAAACACTGTTAGGCATTTTAACTGCATCATTTCTTTATCATGTTTTCCTTGACCAATTAATATTTCATATTTTTGACAGAGTTCAACCTTCCATAATCAGAACAGAATGTGTTCCAAAGTTTGCTGAAGAACCACCCACTGAAATATGAGAATTCTCCCTCTTACAATGCCCCACTTAGACTAGGAGCTCTGAATGGTAAATGCTGAAAGTCTAGAGAAATGTCGTTATACATTTAATTTTTTAAATTAAAAATCCAGTAAATTTGGCAGTGAATTCTTTAAATTTACCAAAGAGAATAGTATACTTAACACTATAAGTATAACATGGAAGCATCTCATTTTATATTTTAAAACTTTGTGTCTCTATAACACTTTCAAATACTTGAAAACTTTGATTCCCTGTGGGGGAAGCTTTCTTCTCCAAGTCTCAATTTGCCTATTTCTACTGCATTCTTGCTTTTGTATGTTTAGACTATTATTAGAACTGTAAATCTCTCTCAAGACCATCTCTCCAACATTGTCTTATTTTTATCTTATTTCATAGCCAAATTTCTTAAGGCACTGGCATATATTAACTATCAGTTTCCTTTCCAAACAGCTTGAATGGGTGGAAAGAGCACCGACCTTGAAATAAGAAACATCAGCTATGTAATTCCCTAGCTTCATCACCCTGAATAACTAAGAGACCTCAACTATATCCTTATGTCTTAAGTGGAAAAAATAATATTCACTCCCAAAGTTTGCTGTAAGAATTTGAGAAAAACTATCCTATATAATAAAAGGCTAATATGCAAATAGACCGAATGGCGGAACAACCAAACAATTGGTCGCTATGATGTGCGCTGACCACCAGGGGGCATGTGTGGAACATGGCAGGCGTTGGCCCCAGCGGGATGGTGGAGCAGGTGAGCAGGGGCACCAGACCAAGGTGAGGCGCCAGTCGCTGTCATTGGGGCGAGCCTCTGGTGGTTACTAAAAATTTTTTGCTCCTGCCCACTGTGGTCCTGCCGGGTGCTTGCACCTGTTGCCGGCGCTGGCCCCACTCACACCCACTTCCAGCATCAGAGCTGCTGCTCACACCCGCTGCCGGTGCCTGACACTGGTCACGATCACTTGGTGCCATCAGTGGGTGTGAGTGGTGGCTGCTGGTTCTGATTGCCCCTGAGAACTTCTCCACCTCCCCTGCTCCTGAGGGGCGATTGGGGCAGCAGTCACTACTTGCACCCACTGATGGCACCGGTCCCGCTCACACCCGCTGCTGGTGCCGGCTCCAATTGCGCCACACTGTCAGCGGGTGCAAGCGAGGCCAGCACGGTCAGCACATGGGAGCAGTGGCAGCTGGAGAGGGGCTGCTGGCAGACAGGGGAATGGGGGCCACGGTGGGAGGGGCTGGACAGGGGCACTGAGGATGGGCTGAGACCAGCCCCTGTGCCTACTGCAGCCTTGCGGCCCATAGTTCCTTTCAAGGTGCACAAATTTGTGCACTGGGCCCCTAGTCCTATCTAATAATAGACAAACATGGTAATTGACCATAGCAGCAATCAAGCTATGAGGGGGAAGGTGGGGGGTGAAAGGAGCTATAGGAGCAGCTCTGGCTGGAGACTGAAGACTCTCGCTGTAGCGAGGAGCAAAGACTGAAGTCTCCAGCCGCAGGGAATACTGTGTCCAGAGCAAAGATGGAAGGCGGTGGCCAGAGTGAAGGTTTGGGTCCCAGGTGCCAGAGGAAAACTGGTGCTGGCAGCCAGGGGAAAGAAGGTGTATTGCACCAATCCGTGCAAGTCATCATTGATGTTTCTCTCTCTCCCTCTCCTTTCCTCTCTGTAATCAATAAAAATATATTAAAAAATCTATACTAATAAAAGCTTAGGTGGTCCTCATGCCCTCGTGCGCCACCCTCACGTCGCCACAAGATGGCCGGCAGGGGAGGGCAGTTTTGGGCAATCAGGCATGCAGGGGAGGGCAGTTGGGGGTGACCAGGCCAGCAGGGGAGGGCAGTTGGGGGCCATTAGACTGGCAGGGGAGGGCAGTTGGGGGTGAGATCAGGCCTGTAGGGGAGGTCTGTTGAGAATAACCAGGCCTGCAGGGCAGGGTGGTTGGGGGTGACCAGACCTGCAGGGGAGGGCAGTTAGTAGTCAATCAGGCCGGCGGGGAGTGGTTAGGGGGTGATCAGGCTGGCAGGCAGAAGCGGTTAGGGGCAATCAGGCAGGTGAGCAGTTAGGAGCCAGCGGTCCCAGATTGTGAGAGGGATGCCCGACTGCTGGTTTAGGCCCAATCCCTGTGGGTCCTAGATTGGAGTGGGTGCAGGCTGGGCTGAGGGACACCTCCCCCCCGTGCATGAATTTCGTGCACCAGGCCTCTAGTAAAAGCATAATATGCTAATTAGACTGGATGTCCTTCCGGACGTCCTTCTTTCCGGACAAAGCCATAGTGGGTAGGGGCTGCGGCAGAAGTGGCAGAGGCCCCCAGCCGCAGTGCTGGTAGGCAGGGGCCAGGGCCAAGGCCCTTGCATGAATTTCGTGCATTGGGCCTCTAGTTATTAAATATTTTATCTACTTCCTTCTTCACTGTTATCTGTACTCTATCTTCTAATGCAACTTATTCTCTAAGATCACTATTAACTACCTCCTTGAAACTCATCTAGCTTAACTTTATACTTTTCTGATTTTCTTATTCTTATCAATGATTTCTTTCCTTTATAGTGGGCCCTTTATATCTTAGCTGTCTGCTCTTCTTTTGCTATGCTCTTTTCTTTTTCTTTTCTTTTTTTAAATATATTTTATTGATTTTTTACAGAGAGGAAGGGAGAGGGACAGAGAGTCAGAAACATCAATGAGAGAGAAACATCGATCAGCTGCCTCCTACACACCTCCCACTGGGGATGTGCCTGCAACCAAGGTACATGCCCCTGACCGGAATCGAACCTGGGACCGCTCAGTCCACAGGCCGACGCTCTATCCACTGAGCCAAACCGGTCAGGGCTATGCTCTTTTCTTAAGAACTGATTCTTTTTATTGCTTTAGTGATCACCACTATGCTTATGATGCTCAAACCCTCCTCCTCAACACTAGTTCTATTTTCCTTTCTCAATTCCCATTTTAATGGATACCTCACTATATGCACCTTCTTCATTATACAAATGATTTCTAAGTTCTCAGAAATCACCTTTCAGATCAAAATGTACATCTATTTTGCCCTTTGCTTCTTAAATACCCAGGGTGATCCTTTGTGGAATACTTTAGAAATAAGATTAAAGGGAAAAAAATGAAAAAATGACCTGTGTTTTGATAAACTTACAGTTCTACCTGTTGGGCCTGTTATACCTTCTCTGCCAAGGGGGCCAGTGTTTCCCTGTAGGAGTAAAAGAAAACAGTCTCATTGCCAATATAATTCAGAAAAATTCTAGAAAATTTCTTGTGCAATGGTAAAATAGTCCATGTCTGCATAACTTTAGTTTTTATTAGAAAATTTTATAGTATTAACAGAAAGCACAGTAATTTTGATTTGTGTGTGTGACACAATTCTACATCCTACATAATAAAAACCTAATGTGCAAATCGACCAAATGGTGGAACAACCAGTCGCTATGACGTGCACTGATCACCAGAGGGCAGACAGTCAACCGGTCAACCAGTCACTATGACATGCACTGACCGACAACCAGGGGGCAGATGGTCGACCAATTGCTATGATGTGCACTGACCACCAGGGGGCAGACGCTCCAACTGATAGATTAGCTTGCTGCTGGGGTCTGGCCAATCGGGACTGAGTAAGACAGGCCGGACACACCCTAGAGCCCTCCCACAGCCCCTACCTGGCTGGCCAACCTCCTGCATCCCTCTCAGGCCCCTATCATGCACTGGTGGGGTCCCAAGGCCTGGCCTGCACCCTTTTGCAATCTGGGACCCCTCGGGGGATATTGGAGAGCCTGTTTTGGCCCGATCCTGCAGGCCAGGCTGAGGAAACCCAATGATGCATGAATTTGTGCACCGGGCCTCTAGTATTATAATACTTTCCTATCAGGAGAGTTACATTGGTATAATTCCTAACAAACTGATAAATCAGCATTATAATTTTTATGTATTGGTAACTTCAATAATGCCATTTCATATGTGTGTCATTATATAAAAATGCAATTAGTTTATATAAAAAGACTACATAGAATGATAACAAAATTTTGCATAAATTACTTTGTAGATGTTGAGGAAACAGATGTTTGAGTGACATTTAACATGGAATTGAGAGAAAGTATGAGAAAGAATCAGAGAGCAGCATATGTGACAAACTAAACTTCAGTTTCTTCATCTATAAAATAAGAATGCTTACTTCATAGGGCCACTGTGAGAATTAAATGTGACAAATGATTTTGAAATGGTAAGCTTTTATTTGATTATTATGATAATGTTAAATAAGCTAAATCTTTGTTCTATTTCTCCCAAACTAGGTATAGAACCTATCATTTCTTAATGCATGTAAACTACTGATTTTAGTTATTTACCCTCAACCTCTACTTCAACTTCCACTAGCTGCAAATTTCATACTTTCTGGCTCACTTATGTATTCCAGGTCAAATTTCACACTTTCACCTGGAATACAAAATGTAGGTATCTAACAGGATTTCTCTTTTCCCAACTATTGGTAAGGTACAAAAAATACTATCAGTTGAGGTAATTATAATGCCATGCAGCCCATTAATAGATAGCTTTAATATTAAGTTGGCCTAGAATGAGAAATTACCCAAAACTCTAAAAGTAGTCTAATGGAATCTCTTAAACACAACGATTTTGTGTGGTGAACACACAATTCCATGTACAGATGATGTATTATAGAACTGTACACTTAAAACCTACATAATTTTATTAACCAATGTTGCCCCAGTACATTTAATAAATTTTAATAAAAACCAAAATGGTTGCATTGGCTCAGTGGGTAGAGGGCTGGCTGTAGACTGAAGGATCCTGGGTTTGATTCCAGTCAAGAGCATATAACTCGTTTGCAGGCTTCATCCCTGGCCTTGGTTGGGGGCAGGTGCAGGAAGCAACCAATTGATATCTCTCTCTGTCTCTGCCCCTCCCTTGCATTCTCTCTAAAAATCAATGGAAAAATATCCTTGAGTGAGAATTAACAAAAAACACACAACCCCCCCAAAAAAGATTGACTTTAAGTAATCATTTGTAAAGATGATACCCAACTCAAAAATCCACAATCAAATCAAGAGAGATGATTTCTTAACCTAATCAAATATATCCTTCAGATTGGCTTACCACTGGAAAAAAAAAGTAAAGAAAGCTTTCATCTAATAAATGTGACTGTGACCTGACTCTGAAATAATGATTTGTTAAAAGAATGGAGAGATAGTCCAGCCAGCATGACTCAGTGGTTGAGCGTTGACCTATGAACAAGAGGGTTGCAGTTGGATTCCCAGTCAGGGCATATGCCCAGGTGGTGTGCCTGCAGAAGGCAGCTGATCAGTGATTCTCTCTCATCATTGATGTTTCTATCTCTCTCTCCCTCTTCCTTCATCTCTGAAAAAAAGAAAAAAAGAATGGAGAGATATACATGGACTCTATAAAAAGTAGTCCAAAAGAGCAAAAAGAATGGAGATATATACATGGACTCTATAAAAAGTAGTCCAAAAGAGCCAAAAACTGTCTGTTTATCTAAATGTGTCCAAAAGATGAGGTGCTTTGGGTGGTACCAGTTAACTACTAAATACGTATTTGAAATGGTGGATAATTAATCCAGATTTCCTACTTTAATTAATTAAATTTACTTAATTATCAAGTATTTATTGATTATTGAGCAAGAACTATGCACAAGGCCACTTAATAGCCATTTTACTTATGCAATTATTAAGAAACCTTCTAACATATCATTTGCTTACTCAGTTGTGGATTCAAATTCTGGCTCTTCTACATAAGAGTTTTTGAGCCACAGACTTAGTTTCAGAGACTTAGTTTTCCACCTGCAAAATGGGGATAATGGCATCTCTCAAAAGATTTTTATGAGGATTAAATGATATAAGGGACACAACTGTACATCAGTACCTGGTACATAATAGTCTTTGGCTAAATATTAACTTATCAAGATTTTTCACTTCACTCTGTAGTGACTTACCAAATGAATATCCACACTTACAAATTAGCATCTGTGAGCTAGTTACCAAAACTTTAATATTGATGAGCTGATAAAATTTCTGGAGCTGCAAAGCAATATAAGCTCAGATCCTGGCCTATAGATACCTAGTACTTGGTAAGACTCTGCTTAGGGCAGATGCTAGGCAAGCAGCCAACTTCTCTTTGATAATACCAAGAAAGAAGTTAATTATTGAGAATGTAATAAAATTAGAATGAATGGGTTTTAATTAGTGGGGAACTTAATACATGTAAGAACTTAGAGCAATATTTGTCATAGAGAAGCCTATCATATATAACCCACTTGTGGATAATCAAGAATTGCAGTTTATATAAAAGCACCAACTTTTCATGGTTCTTCAGAAATCATAAAAATAACTAATAAAGTTGCACCTGAAGAAATGTTGAGAAGGGGTCTTTAAATAAACATTTCCCATGACAACATGGCTCTTTGTATTACTGAAAAGAATTACTGTGAGAGTTAGGGAAGAGGTGCAGAATTTCAAAAATGACTTTTCATTTAATATTCTGCACAAGACAGTGGTTTTCAATTGTAAAATTCTTCCTCAAGATTCCTTTCTCCTGCATCCGAATCACTTTCCTTCTTCCTCTCTCTGCTCACTCTGTCCACCCTTGCCCTAGCAGCTGCTGCAAGTCATACAGGTATTCTACTACTGTCAAACCATAGTTTATTTCTTTTCAGTTTTATACATCATCTCATCAATTAGGAGATGATGGTTAATAAAAACAAAACATAAAACCAAAAAAGTAAAAAAACAAAAACAAAAACAACTAAACCCAAACAAACCAATAACCAGCAGCTACTAGTGACTTATCTATCCTGTTTATATTCTCAACGGTTTGCAATTCCAAGCACTAAACAGCTAATTGGAGTTTTTCAGACCCTGATCTTTGCAATTCTTTAAGTAATTCTTCATCACTCTCTTGGGATGCCCACCCTTGAGCTGGGAAAACATAGCTATTGGGAAATATTTTTCAAAGTGCGGTCTGAGGCGCTCTGGTCATAGGCAAGCCCCTGCAGGTGGTGCATGGAGGTGGTCTCTGGTTGTATTAATACGTATAACATAACACAGCTTTATGTTTTTGTTCCTAGTGTGAGTTAATAAATACATTATCCAGTATTCACATTAATTCTTATAATTATTTTTTTAAAGTGAGAACTGGAAAGTGTGGGTGGTCTGAGGGGTCTTTTGCTCAAACTAATATATGAACTGAAAAAGGCTGAGAACCTCTGCATGTGCTCTAGTGAGTTTCTATATTAAAAATCATTTTATTAAGTCATTAATTTGGAGTATATTAATTTTAGAGTTCTTAATCCCAATTCCTATAATCAGCAAAGAATCACAATTTCTGGGCAGAATGACTTTGTACTCACTCTCTGTCCAATAGGACCTTTAGGACCTGATATTCCAACAACACCAACATCTCCCTCAGGACCCTAGAAATACAATAAAAAACAAAAAGTCATTCTTTAGCTCTGTAGAAACATTTTACACATGAAATCATCGCATATCAACATACTCAGAATTGCCTTTAAAAAAATGGAATGTGATAGTTAATGATGTCTATGCTGAAGTATTTTGGAGGAATTGTACTCAGGTCTGCACTTTACTTTAAAATTAATAAAAAATGGATTGAGAGAGGGAGAGAGGGATGGACAGATAGACAGGTACATGATAAAGCAAGTAGAGTAAAGTGTTAATGGAAAAATGAAGAAAGGACAAAAGCAAGTTATTCAATAAAACTGCCGGGAAAATATATAGTTGCATATGTCTTACAATTAACATATTTATAACTCAAATGTATAACTGTACTAACTGAAATTTGGCAGATTAAAAAAATAAAAGCTCAAATCAGAGACTAAATATTAATATTTCAACACCTTTTTTTTCTAGATAGCTAGAAGACTAGCAGAAAGTTATGCAAGCATACTTTGGGGCCTGGGAATCCTTGGAAACCTGTCAAACCTTGAACACCATGTTCTCCCTGCAATATAAATAGATATGATAATGATTATTGTGCAATGATGTTCTAGTCTGTAGAACAAGTGCATAGTAAGTTTCTGAGTTGGCACATACAGGCTGCCCTTTCAGGCCAGGCTCTCCACATGGTCCTTGATCACCTTGGGCTCCTCGGTGACCCCTTTTACCTTGAATTCCAGGTTGACCAGGTAGCCCTTGTTCACCCTATGGACAGGAACAGAAAAGTGATCTTGACTTTAAAACCTAAAAAAATATTAGATTTTAAATGAAACTCAAATATAGGCCTACCATAGGCATAGAACAAGGCACTGGGGAAATAAAATTCTGCACGAACATCCTCCCCACCAATATTTTCCACATAAGTAATATTTGATTATTATATATGAGAAGTGTAGCAGTGGGGAAGGAGAATTCTAGAGACTGTAGTCTTAAGTGTGGAAAGAGGAGGCAAGGGGATTCCTACAAAACAAGGAGGATAGTGGGGCTATAGAGAGAATGCTGAGGGCGTGGTGTATGCGTGTGTGGGTGTGTATATGTGTTCAAACTTGTATTTTATTTGAATTGTTATTATTTTTCTGTGTTTTCTTTACCATACATAGATTTCAGCTATCTAATACCAGAAATGGAGAAGTCTCCTGAAGTGTGAACACTGGTTTTTGCCACAATAACTGTTTAAATTCCATCATTAAGAAATGTCCACTATCTGTTTCCTAAGGTTTCTTTGATATCAATACTCTTTACTCCCTCAAAGTTCGCTTTAAAGACATATTTTAAAAAAAGACATATTTAATCACAATTATTTTAATTTTAAATCAGCTATTTTTAAAATGTATTTTTATTTTGTTTTTGAAATGAGAGTGGTGATAGCTTTCATACCATTTCTAAAAATAAATTTAGCAATCAGGTGGAGATTAGAGACAGGTTAATGAAAACATGATGCTTGGTAGACTTTGACCAAAGATTCTTTAAGATTAACAAATTATCATTCACTTTCTTGAGTCAAAGGTATAGGGCAGGGACTTGACAAATATGGGTTCAATTTACTGCAGAAACACACATGAGAGATAGGGGGTCTTTCTTATTTTCCTACTTTTAGCATTTGCTCAGCTACATTGAGTTATAGTGGAAAGGGCAAATCATTAACACAAGGGTCAAGTTGTAAACAGTACACATCTGGCTCATCATTTTCAGTTTACTGATATAAGTCAGAATATCCAAAAAGTCGTTAGAAGTGGAATTGTGAATATGGAATTAAGAGGTAATAATGAAGAGGGTGCCAATGTCTTAATCCTAGACTTTTATGAAATAAACTGGATTCAATTCCCAGTCTTGGCTGTCTGGTCAATTCTGCATTGAGATATTTCTAAGAGAAGTTGTTTGGAAAACCTACTGACATCTGACAATACTCTATGCAGTGAATGTTAATACAAGACTTACTGACAGTCACTCTGACTCTAAGAAATAATCTATAGTCTATATTCACTAATTGGTTGGTTAGGTCCAGACTTAGAGAAACAGAAAGTATACCTGAGAAAGTATGTATCTGGAAGTAAATGAGATTTTGATGTTTTAGAGAAGAAGGTGGATGACAGGAAGGGAAAACAAACAAACAAAACAACCAAAATGAGTCAAAGAACATTTTTAAAAGCATTTCCAGTCCTGGATGAATGAGTTATTTTGGCAAATTGCATGCACTGTAGCTATCATGGGAGGTGGACATGTCAAGGCCACACACGTTCCTTTCTTCCTAACATGTTTTTATTATTAGCCAAATTTTATTAAAAGCTATTAATCTTACCATCCTAGAATGTAGCCAATGAACTCAGGGCCAGTGAGGATGGTCAATATCATTCATCCATCAGAACAAGACATTACAGTACCTTTGGGCCTAGGATTCCTGGGCTTCCCGGCAGGCCTGGTGAACCCTTTGCTCCGCGAGGACCTGGGGACCCAACCAGTCCTGTTCTTCCTGGGCTGCCTCTGATGCCCTAAATAGCACAGATAAGAAATGAAAACGGGAGCAGTTCCTAAAAAACCCGCCCAGAGGCTTCATAAATGTAGGAGGGGTTGGTCTTGTGAAATGCCGCTGTTAACACACTACCCATGTCTGGGAGTCATCCTGGGCTTCTTGCCCAAATAAGTGAAATGTTTAAAAAATGTTTTGGCCCACCAAAAAGTCTCTAATTAATGTAATGGTCTTGGGTTTTTGAAATGAAAACACAGAGGCAGTACAAATTCCACCAGTATCTTCTGACTTAAGTAGCCTATGTGTGAAGTATGTCTGTTGTATTCTAACTTTTTGTATTATACTCTGGTGTACATGAAAAATATAATAACTGGTTAATATCTCCTTAACAAGAATATTCTGCCCTGGCTCAGTTGGTTGAGCATCATCCAGAGCAGCAAAAGGTCTATGGTTTGATTCCCAGTCAGGGCACATGCCCAGGTTGCCAGTTTGATCCCCGGTTGGGGTGAGTGTGGGAGGCAACCACTCAATGTGTTTCTCTCACATTGATGTTTCTCTTTCTCTCTGTCTCTCTTTCTATCCCACCGCTCTCCCTCCCTTCCACTGTCTCTAAAAAATCAATGAGGACTTGTATGCCTGCATAGTAGCATAACCAATGGACTCAGACACTAGGGCATTGGGGGCTTGTCCTGGGGGGGTAGGAGTGGCCGGGGAGGGGCCAATGGGAGGGGGGCGGGGAAGAAGATATATGTAATACTTTAAACAATAAAAAAATCAATCAAAAATCAAAAATCAATGGGGGAAAATCCTCTAGTGAGGATTAACAACAACAAAATATATATCTACATTATTAGACCAAACATTTGGCACAATATTCCTACCTCACAGGAATGTGACAGAAAAGTTAGGAAATTTAAAATGAAGTATCTTACACAACAGAATTCTCCACAAAAAAAAAATGAAAATAAAGTTGCAACTAAAATAAGTTTTTGGATGGTTTGTTTGTTAGCCCAACAAGGAAAATTGCTTCTTGATTTAATTAGATTGTGCAGCAAAAATAAACTTGCTTAAGATTGCTAGCCTTTTGGTAGAATCTGTTTCTTAAAGTGTTGAGGACATTAGAGCAGCATCAATAGTCAAGTAAAAAACAAAGAAAAAGCTTTTGAGTGGTTTTCTTGCCTCTTGATGAATCCATAGATATTAGTATAATAGTCCCGCCTTATCCAAAGGGGACATTCCAAAACCCTGAGTGGATGCCTGAAACATGGATAGTACTGAACCTTCTATATGTATGCTATGTTTTTTCCTATACATACATGCCTATAATGAAGTTTAATGTATGAATGAGGCACAGTAAGAGACTAACAATAACTAATAATAAAATTATAACAATGTGCTGTAATAAAAGTTACATGAATGTGGTCTTTCTCAGTATATCCTAGTGTTTGTACTGTACTCACTTTTTCTCTTACAGGAAGCACTTTATGACTTCCCTTTAGCACATGTGAATTGCCAGCATCATTATTCTTGTGTTTTGGAGCCATCATTAAGTACAATAAGCATTATTTGCTCATAAGCATTGCCGTACCCAACAGTAGATCTGTGGGCTATCTTATAAGGTCTTGAGTATCCTATCCCTGGATGTACTATAGAAGTAATTGATGCCATGGACAGAGGACAAGCATCACATGACAGATTATGCTAGATAATTTTAGGATACTTCAATGTCCAGAATTCTAAAATAGTCCTACTTCACCTCACTTTAATTTTACTTTCAGGTGATACAGAGACAATGGACATTCAGATACTGTTGAATATTCCTGAGGCCAATAGGTATTTTTAGCTGAGAATAAGGACTTTAGGACTAACTGTGTACTAGAAACTTTATAGTAGTTTCAGTGCTATCAGACATTTAATACAACACGATGAATATGCTCCAAGTTTTTTACTGTTCATGTTGGTTTCTTAGAGAGAAATTTGAGGACAGTAGCAGAGTGTTCTGTACAAATTTCCAAACAATGTTTCCTACAAGTAGAGAACAAACATTTTTTATTATGGATACACAGATGGATGAGTAATTTTGCTTTCAAGAGAAACAGATGTTAATCCCTAGGCATTCTTTCCAATGTCTTAAAATGATTTGACTAAAACCCATCAGCAAAGGGTATGTCATTCTGAGGAAATTTTAAAAAGTATATAAAATCACAATTATTAATTTTTTTCAGAGATGCTGAAACCAATCAACAATTTTCCTAAGTCTTAAACAAGTTAATAGAATGATAAGAATATATGATGTCTCATGGCCAGAGATTTTCATTATCCTCAGGTATGAGCCTTTTATATATATAGAAGATAATTGACATATAGTATTGTGTCAATTTAGATGTATAATGTGTTGGTTTGATGCATTTATATTTTACAATATGATTAATACAGTACTCTAGCTAATATCTTTATCATGTTACATATTCATTATTTCTTTTTTGTTTTTAGAACACTTATGATTTGATCTTTGAGCATGTTTGAAGTTTATAATACAGTATTGTTGACTATAATTACCGTGTTGTGCATTAACTCTCCAGAACTTATTTATCTGCAAGATGTAAATGTGTATCCTTAAATTAGTTTTGAACTCTGAAGAAAAGTGTCCATTTTTGATAAGATTGAAACTGCTGGCTATTTAAGGCTTGGATTCCAAGGAAACACACATTTGGATCAGTACTGACATCAACAACAACATCAATGATGACAACACTATCAACCACAAGAGCTACTTTTTATTGAGTGTCTTCCATATGTCTGAAACTGTAATGGCAATGTGGTTGAATTGTTTTATTTACTCTGATATAAGTTAAGGAAAGAAGATATAGTTGCTTTTTACTTTGACTTCCCTGTAGGGAAAGAAAGGAATACTTTAAGTATAAATCTGCCTTCATTCTGGAAAGATCTGGGAAGGAAAATAGGGCTATGTGCACAAATTTACAGACAGATTTTTGGAACAATGATGACTGGTTTGTGTATAATTGTGAAACATAGCAAAGAGAATGTCTGTTATTCTCCAGGCCCCTTGGTTTAGCAGCCTTAATCTCATTAGGACTGAAACAAATATATTAAGAAATAAGTAAGAAAAAAATGGTTTATTATAGGCAACAATAGAAATCCACACTTGAGAGGATTAGCAAAGGAAGACTATCTTAAAAATTGTGTTGAGTAAGATGATAAACATTTTATGTTAATTTGATTGATTTTTCAGCAAATTAACATCAAAAAATCAATTTATCATTGATTTTTTAATGATAAATTTAAAATGACATTGAATTTCAAATTAGGTAATGTTTTTCTTTAAAATCCTACCCTTGAAATTACTAGGATAAGTGTTTTTTTCCTTTCCCTACTGCCAAGCATCGTGTTGATATATTTACTGTGTAAGAATATGGTAATTAAAAAATTACTTTACTTTCTGTAATACAAAAAATAACTATGATGCCCTGATGTTTTCTTTTACATTATTGGGCAAAATATATACTGCATTTTTTGTTAAGGCAGCAAACCAATGAGTTATAAAAATAATACCTCGCTTCCTTTACTCCAAGCTATTAAAAACACTTCTGTTTAAGTAGGAATTTCTCATTTTATTTGGTTTACTAAATATATCCATCTCAGGAAAGAATTGGCTGCTTAAAATATGTGGGATGGTAATTATTAGTTGATTATATGGGAGGCTACATTATATTTAGATAATGTAGCATTCATACATTTTCCTACAGTGCTAATCATAAGTAATGTGGCTGAATGCTAGAAATAAGATTTATGAATGAGCTGTGTATTAAAGTTAGGAGGTAACTTTAATTTTGAATCTCTAAACATATTAAAGCTTATGGAACTCAGAGCAGGGTTGAGCCAAGTCTTAAGGCTGTGAAGACAGGTCTGCTTGACTTAGGTTCATTCCCAAGAGTATACAAAACGAACTGTTGTTCAGCTTTAATGAATACTGGCATTTCAACATTGTATTACATCACAGAGTGCAAATGGCACTATAATACTGGACAAAATTAGTATATCATATGAAATCTCCTTTACCCGGGTCTCAACTCATAATCACAGGAGTAACAGGGACAGAAAGAGGCTATTTTATCTATATTTAGCTTAGACATGTCTAGGTTCACATCACTATGAAAAATTAAATGTCCATATTTTATGTCAAACAAAAAAAAATCTATCTCTATACTATCTCATTTGAACCTCTGATAATCCAGTGACTATGCCAAACTTGCTGACTGCAGGTTTTTTCATCTTAGTTCCTTCCTATGGTATGTTCTTCCTTTATTCTTTATACACCTGGCTTAGTCTTACCTTTAATCCTCAGCTGAAGTATAACCTTCTCAGTGAGGCCTCCATAGTCTGTTTCATCCATATCAAAACCCTACTTATTTCATTCATAGCACTTACCACCATTCAGAATTAATTAATTTGTTTATTTATAGACTACTAACCAATTATTTGGTGATCCATATTCAATTGTAATTTATTTTTTTTGGGGGGGGTGTCAAAAATAGTCAAATGTCAGCAATTTCTTGCTGTTCCATGTATATTGCATGAATTCACTTATTTTTTTAAAATTTTGTTTTATTGCTTAAAGTATTACAAGAGTAGTACATATGTCTCCTTTTTTTTCCCTCTTGACCTTCCCCCGGCCTCCCCTACCCCCCCAGTGTCTTGTGTCCATTGGTTATGCTTATATGCATGCATACAAGTCCTTCGGTTGATCTATTACCCCCACCCCAACCCTCCCCGGCCTTCCCGCTGTAGTTTGACAGTCTGTTTGATGCTGCTCTGCCTCTGTATCTATTTTTGTTCATCAGTTTATAATGGTCTTTATTATGCATAAATGAGTGAGATCATGTGGTATTTTTCTTTCATTGACTGGCTTATTTCACTTAGCATAATGCTCTCCAGTTC